TGCTGTTACAAAATCAGAAAAAGAGATTGCTTATTTCTCCGGAATGAACTCAAGAACATGTTGCCATTACATATTAAATGTGGTTCGCAATGAGATGGTTTCGGTGTATTATATAAGTGAATAACAGAAAATTTGTAGTTATTTACAGTGCCCATTGCTTTTAAAAATTAGAATAGACTTTTTTCCTGGTGTTTTGGTCAACTTGAGAAAGAAGATTTATACTAATAGAATGAGCCCATAACGTCTTGGTTTAATGGCTTTTAAAGATGAAGAAGATGAAATAGCAGTTACTGCCGCGTAGTTGAAATGCTACATTGTAATTAACTAAACGGATATTTTGTACCCTGCTTATAAATGAAATGCTGGGTAAAAATAAGTCACAGGTGGTTTCCTTGGCTTTGGGGGTTAAAATTTAAGCTTAGGGTTTGAACAGCTTTGAGAATTCCCTGTTTCCTCTTTGCTAATTTTCCCCCTTATATTTAATTCTGCTTCATGAATTAGTTTTACATATTCACAGATTTATTTGTGCCTTTCAAGAACTTCCTTGCTATGTGTTTTCATCTGTTTCAAGTGTGTATATTTATGTTTATATATGCATATATGTGTATACACACAGCCTCCTGTATATTTGCCAACAGAGATACTAGTATGCACTTTGCTCTCTAATGACTATTTCTTACAGAACTGTATGTATAACCCACTGCCAGTGAGTCAGTTCCAACTCAGTAACATTAAGGAGAAAGTAGAACTATCCTTTATGGCTTCCAGAGCAAACCTTTTACAGAAACAGGGTACATGTTGTTCTCCTTTGAGGTGCCTGGTGAGTTCACCCATGAACATAAAGGTTAGCAGCTGAGCGCTTTGACCACTATACCACTGTGCCACTAAGGCATGTGTGTGTGTGTGTGTGTGTGTGTGTGTGTGTGTGTGTGTGTGTGTGTTGTTAGGTGCCATCATATTGACAACTCATAGCGTCCCTGTGAATAACATATGAAAACCCTACCCTATCCTGCTCTGTCCTCACAATTCTGAAATGCTGCAGCTCATTGTCATAGTCTCTGTGTTAGTCCCTCTTATTGATGGTCTCCTCTCTTTCTCTGACCTTCTGCCTTTCCCAGCATGATGTTTTTTTTCCAGGGACAGGCTTCTGCTGATAATAGTCCAAAGAATGTGGGTTAAAGGGCGTACTGGTGGCCCACTGGATATGGAGTTGCTCAACCCAAAGGCACACAGCTGCAATCTGCCAGCTGTTCCTCCTCCTGTGAAGTTTGCAGCCTGTGGAAGCTCACTGAAGGGTCAGGTTTGAGTTGGTTCTGACTCGCTGGCACAATCCAACCAACTATCCAACCAACCAGTATAAGACAGAGTTTCACCATCCTTGCTTCTGAGGAGCAGTATGGTTGCCTTTCCTCCAAGACAGATTTGTTTTGTCTTTCGGCAGTCCACGGGCTATTCGGTATTGTCACCATCACCACATGTCAAAGGCAAGACGTCTTTTGTCATCCTTATTCACTATCCAACTTTCAGAAATTGAAATTGAAGCAATTGAAATTACTCTGCAGATGCACTTTGTCTTTAAACCAAGTATGGTTTAAACTGTCTATGTACCACTGAGTCAGAACTGACCCTTAGCTGACCCTCCACCGAGTTTTCAGAGGCAACAAATCACACAGGAAGGAGATTGCCCATCTTTCTCCTGTGGAGCAAATGGACTCAAACTGGGAGCATTTGAGTTGACAGAACAATTTATTACCACTAAGCCACCAGAGCTCCCTACATTTGTGAATAGTACTAGATTGTTTATTAAAGGAGGTCCTTGTTTCTGTTGTAGTCTACTTAGCTGAATTTTATTATTCTATTTATATAATAAAATATCTTTCAAAAATAGATATGCTACTGTATACTGTTGCCTGCAGAATGGCCTTCACAATGTGCGTTGTGAGATTTTTAATGTATGCTTTATTTGTAAAATGACTATAAAATGTTACTGAATTATGGTATTACTTTACCTTTTTCATGTTTCTGAAGAGATTGAGATTATTTTTTTCCTAATTGAGATTTTAATCAAAGTTTATACAGAACTTGGATTTTCATTCATTCATTGTTGTACATTTTTCTCCCTGCCGCTCCCCTCCAGTTCACGTTTCTCTTTGAAAAAAAATTATTTTGCTATTGTACAATCCTTCACCCCCCAGTTCACTTTACTATGCATCTCTAATTCTGCATTGTTGTCATGCAAATAATATTTAATCATATATTCCTTTTAAGCAGTTCTATTCCTCATTTGTTTCAATGCAGTGTACATTATTTATCCCCTCTTTTCTTAGTTTCCCTCCAACTCCCTTGGAAGTCCTGTTTTGTAACAGTGGCATTATGTATGCAGTATTTGTCATTTTGTGGCTAGGATATTTCACTTAGGAAAGTGTCCTCCACGGTCACCCATTTCGTATGATATTTACAGAGTTCCTTGTTTTTCAGTGCTGCATACTATTCCATTGTGCGAATATACCACAGCTTCTCTATCCATTTGTTTGTTGATGGGCACTTGGGTTGTTTTCTTTGCTTTTGTGACCAACACAGCAATAAACATGGGTGTGCACAGAGATTGAGATTATTTTTTATATGCTTTTAAATGTTCATATTTCAGTATCAACATGTCTCAGATTTTTACCATTTTGAAAAATGAATTGGTGGTCTTTTCCTCATTGAAGTTTTTTTCCCTAATTGCCTCCCACTTAATCTTTTCACACTCTTACTTAGAGAAATTCTTAGTCAAATATATTAGGATAATTTATTAAGATAATTTCTTAAAACTAAAAAATATTTCATGGTCTTTTTGGTGTGTCTTGTTTAAGATATTAGCTCTGTAATCTAAAGTTATAAAATCATTCTTTTAAATTATCTTCTGAATATTTTCATAGTTCTGCTTTAGTTTTATTTAATTCATTGAGAATTTAATTTTTTATGTGTTATGAGAGAGGGACTTTTTTTGTCTTCTAGTTATCGATTATGTATTTATTACTAGTTTGGATTCATGAAAGATATTTTAGCTAGATATAAAAAGTTCAGGGGTTATGTTTTCTTCTAGTACTTTTAAGATATTGTTTCTTTGTACCTTTTGTTGTTTCTCATGATGCATCAGCAGTTGTTATTGTTGTTACCTGTATGTAGCATGCCTTTTCCTCTAGTTGTTTTAAAATTTTCATTTTTCTGTTATCCTGTTTCTTTTTCTTCAAAATTAACATTATTTAGAAGTCCCTCGATTTTATTTAAGTTACCAAATGGTTAGAAACTATCCCTTAACTAGGCTAATAAGGTATTTAATGTCAAAGGAATAAAATATACATTATCAGTTTAGATATAAGACATAAATGTTAAAAAATTTTTTCAATTTTTACTATTAAATAATGACATAGAAAAATAATGATTTCATGATAACTTCTGGCTCCAGCACCTTTTAAATGTTATAATTTGTTCTACCTGAACCATTGAAAGAAAACTACATCTGTAAAAATACTCAATCTGAAAAGAACTTACCTCTATCCTTGGTAGAAATTTGTGAAGACAGAGTTTAGAATTTTTTTTTGGTGGGGGGGGGAACCAGAACCTTTAGAATTTACGGGAGAATATGCTAGAAAATGAGACCTGTATGGAAAAGAAAGACCAATACATGAACAAGGGTCACTAAAACCACTCTTTTTTCTTGATTATCTTTTAACCAAGTGAAAACATTCATTCTTCAGTAGGTTCTGTAGAAAGGACTTTGTAATACAGTATTTTCTTAGTCTGATTTTGTCTGGCACTCCAAAGATTTTAAGACATTTTCCTAAAAATATTGAATATGTTTCAGAGTTATTATTTCTGGGTTCATTTTCTAAAGTCAAACGGGAAATGCCAATATAATGATTTGGGCTTTCTTCTATTGAAAACCATTTTATTTACTAATTTTAAAATATTCAGTTATATTTCATTTCCTACCTCAGGAAACAGCATTATGCATTTAGTTAATTATTGATGTCTGTTTTCTTTCTTTTTTTCTTAACTTGGTATTCCTCTGGTCCCTTTTAAGTATCTGTTTTGTGTCATTTTTATTTTCTTTTCCTCACCTTTCAATCTTCTGTGTCCCCTGCTGTCACTTCAGTTTTGTCTTGGTCGTCTTTGGACAACTCTTAAATAAAAATCTTCACCAGTAGCTTTTTTTTTTAAATTTTAATTTTTTTATTAATGTTAATGAAAATTTACAGAGATTTTGGATTTCCATTCATTCATTGTTGCACTTTCTTTCTTCTCTTTGAAAAGTAAAAGAAAAATTCTTTCATTGCTATACGATCCTTCCCCACAAGTCCACTCCACTATGCAACCTTTGTTCTAGAGTCCTGTAATGACAATAATACCTAATCACATATCCCTTTTAGACAGTTTTGCTTTTCTCTTCCATTTATTTTCCTGAACTTTTCAGCTCCTTTTTAGTATCCTTATATTTTTTGCTTTAACATGCTGTGCTCTTTATGCCTGGAGCTATTTTAAAGTTGTAGTTACATACAGGTCATTGTTGAAGTATGTTCAAGATTCCATGCATCGAGATATACTGAGAGTGAAGTGATTCCATTGATGCTTCAAGAATGAAGAAGAGTATTGCTGATAGAGGTTAAAGAAATGATAGCCTAAAGCATACGTACAGAGATGTGTGAGAAAGCTCATTGTCTTCTGGTGTTATAAATCATTTAGGACGCTGGGGGCATAGAATCTGAGGCAAAGAATAATGGAAGATGCAGGCAAAGTTAGCCACTGTTAGGATCATGAAGGTGAATTTAACATACCAAGGAGTTTACGTTCCATACTTTCTCAGGAAGCCACTGAACAAGTAGCATATAATACCTATGGTAGTCTTTTTAAAAAAATCTAACTTTTAAGACATATACCAGCTGTAGTTTATATTTTGTCAGGTACAAATTTTTGCTTTTATATTGATAAAATCTACTTTCTTAATAAAATTTCAGATAGAAAATCCTCGCTACCTGAGACAGAAGCCTGTTCCAGTTTCTCTGGTAGGTGAGAATTCCATTGGACTTTTCTAGAGACAGGTTTCGTTGTTTTTTTAAAATAATTAACTCTTTATGCAAATAATGTAAGTTCATATTGTGAAGCATAAAAGTCTTATTATTGTTAGCCACCTGGATGTGAATGAATCACTTTCTCATTAATATTGTTGTTCTTTTGGGTTGGACTTCAAGCATTTTGAAATTTACTTTCGGGCTGAAGAGAAACCAGCTCTGTAAAAGTATTAAACATTTCTTATTTATTCAACAGATGACACCCAAATTCAGCCTAAGAAAATCCAGCAGTTTTTCCAGCAGTTTGCATGATGATCATATACTTTCTCGAATGCATGAGAAAGAGGTAGGATTGGGACATTTCTGCTTTATTTAATAGTTAACACAATCATGAAGTTTTTGTGTAATGCAAGTTATAAAGTCCTAGTTAAGGTAGTAATGTAAGTGAGGCAAGGTTTGTCCTTCTACTTTTTGATATCTGTTTTCTATCTTGTATGTTGCAATTCCCTTTTCACTAGATGGCATGTCCTGAGGGTCTATCTCCAGAGGGCCAGCTCCTGATACCAGAAACGAGGGGAAAGGGCCATCTTTAGGAGACAGTTGTTAAGCTTATTGAATGTTTTGGTTTGGTTTTTTTTCTACTTATTTGTGATACATCTTTCTGGTTTCACTGTTCTTGCTCTTTTTAAATTGTTCTGCTAAGTTCAGCAGCCAGGAAATTAAAAGGCGCATTGCCAAGGGAAAGCCTGCTGTTAGGGACCTCTCCAAAGTACTGAAGAGCAATGGTGTCTCTCTGGAGAATAAGGTGTGTCTGATACAGGGTTTGGTCTTCCCAATCACTTGTTATGCATCAGAGAGTTGGACAATGACCAAGGAGGATAAAAGGAGAATTGATGCCTTTGAGCTGTGGTGCTGGAGAAGAGTATTAAGAATACCATGGACTGCTAGGAAAACAAACAGATTCGTCCTGGAAAGGGTTAAACCGGGTGGCTCCTTGGAGGCAAGGATTCTGAGGCTCCGTCTAACATACTTTGGACATGTTGTGAGGAGAGACCGGTCCTTAGAGAGGGACATCATGCTTGGGAGGGTGGAGGGACAGCGCAGGAGAGGAAGGTCCTCTATGAGGTGGATTGATTCAGTGACTGGGATAATTGGGACGGGAGTGTCAGAGACATTGCGATTGGCACAGGAAAGAGCGGAGTTTAGGGCTGTTGTACATAGGGTCGGTATGAGTCGCAGGTGACTCGACGGCACATAACAACAACAACAACAACATAATCTTGTCATTACCATTGAGACAGAGCCAATTCATAGTTGACTCCCCACTGAGTCTCTGAGGCTGTAAATAGTACAGGAAGAGGTTGTTCATCTTCTCCCAAGTTGCTCATCGATTTTTACCACCAGAGCAGCTCTGTCTTTGGGCTGTAGCACAGCTTCCTACAGAGCATCCCATCGGACCTCTTCACCAAACACAACAGATGTCTGCTATTTCCCTAGGTTGATTTGGGATCCAAAGAAAACTAAATCATTGACCACTTCAGTCTTGTTATGATGTTCCGGTTGGTTCAGTTGTGACTATTTTGTTTTCTTGATATTGAAGTCTAGTCTGTACTGAAGGCAACAGTCTTTAATCTTCTTCAGTGAGTGCTTCAAGCTCTCTTCACTTTCTTCAAGCAAGCAAGATTGAGTTGTCTGCATAATGCTGCTTGCTGATGAGTCTTCCTGTGATCCTGATGACACATTGTTCTTCAGTGTTAGTTATTATTGGTTAAGAGGTTAGGAGTAATGCTTGAGAAACTATCAGACATGTTGTTGATAAGTTGATTGTACTCATAGCAACTTTGTGTTACTAAGATAGTTCTTGCTCTTGTTGGATCATTAACAACAATCACCATGATTATAGACTTCTATGTAACTTAAAAATTGTCATGTACCACATATATTTTTACTATGTGTATAAGGTTATTTTTGTTGTTAGACGCTGTTGAATCAGGTATGACTCATAAGGACCCTATGAACAACAGGCTTGACCCCTGTCCAAACCTGTGCCATCCTCATCACCGCTGACATATGTGGGTCCATTAATGACACTGTTATTCGACTTAGATTATTAGCGTTTTTATTACATTTGTTCAAATAGTTTCACCTTTCCTTTTTCTTTCACTTCAAAACCAACATATCTAAAGTTCAGGTTAGAATTCCTTTAAACATGACAGTTTTCTTACTACGCTTGTTATAAAATATTACAAAACACATTGATTCTTGGTGCTTTTTTAAAATTTTTGATAATGGAGGAGCTTCAGGTCCTCCTTAGTTTTCAGCAAGCAAGGTTGTGTCATCTGCATAACATAGGTTGTTGATGAGTCTTCCTTCAATCCTGATGCCACAATCCTCCTCATAAAGCCCAGCCTCCTAAATGATCTGTTCTGCAAATAGCTTGAAAAGGTATGGAGACAGGAAGCATCTGTCCTGCATATAGATAGAAAAGGTATGGAGACAGGACACATCCCTGATGTATTCCCTTCTTGATTTTGAGCCATGTAATGTTTCCCTCTCCCGTCTCACATACTTTGGGCATGTGGCCAGGAGGGGCGATCCTTTGAGAAGGACATAAAACCTGGAAGGGTGGAGGGACAGTGCAGAAGAGGGTGGCCCCAGATAAGATGGATTGATACAGTAACTGGGGTAATGAGGGCAGGTGTGTCACGAGTCAGTGAGACTGGCTCAGGACAGGGCAGGTTTCAGTGCTGGTGTACAGTGGGTCACTGTGAGTCACAGGTGACTTGTCGGCACATAACAACAACGACAATGGAGGAGTAGCTACTTTCCTTTTCAGTCTGATAGTGTTGTTATTGCTGATATCAGTAATTCTCTGCTTGCCATTTAGTAGCTCCAACTTTAAGCAAAAATACATCAGAAAGCCCGTTTTGGATAATACTTTCATATCCAGCACTACTTCTTTTGAGTTTTCACTTTCCTCTTTGATGTTGTCATTGTCTCACAAAGCCATTCCAAGTCATTCCCAGCCGTTTTCCCCCTCTTAATTGATTTTGTGCTAATCCTTACTGTTGAGGTTACTTTCCAAAGGATAATTAAAAGGATTAAAGTGAGATGTTGGCTTTTGAAATTTTTCTTTTTGTCTTTCATGGCATAAGATCTCAACTTTATGATGACAGCTTGGGTCAGGGGTAAGCATTCCAGTATTTCCCACATGTGTGTTGAGGGGAAAAAAAGTATTTAAAGCTACTGTGTGTTGCCTCTGAGCTTCCTTTTAAAATGTATGTGGCATTTTCTTTTTTCTACTCTTCTAAGGCTTTTTGGTGTGTGCCACTTTAAATGAATGAATCTGTTTGTGGCATAACTGATGAGTTGCATGTGAATATCAGTTTACTGCATGCTTCCCCCCTTTCCTAACCACCCTCTCTTTATTGCATATCTTTTAATTTTTTTTTTTCTCCCCAGGGAGCATTTGGCAAAACTACTTTTTTTGCAGTTACATAATTGTTTCAGAATTTTTTGATAAAATATTTTTTTGATCGTGTTCTTTTTTCTCTCATAAAATATTTCAAAATATGTGCTGGCTTGTCCCAACATGCGAATTATTTTTCTTTTAAAGTCGTAGTTGTGATTAACAAAAAAGTAATATATGTGATTCTTCTATTAAAGAAAATTTGGAAAATATAGGCATGTGTAAAGGAAATACAGTGACCTAAGAAAACTGATGGTACAAGAATAAAAACTAATGAAATGCTGTTGTTGTATAGCTTTCAGGCTTTTCATTTTGCAGTATATAACTGCTTAAAATTGAGATGATATTTAAGAACGGCTTTGCATATGTTAAACACTCTTAATGCTTTTAAATATTAGTTCTGGTGTGTAAACCATAGCAAGCTGTACTTTTAACCTGAAGACCACAAGTCTCTAGGGTTTCAAATCCATCAGCCATTCCAAGGGAGAAAGATAGGCAATCTCCTGCTGTGATCTCAGTCTCTCCAATCTTACGGAGGCATTGCTGTTAGTTAGAACTGTCCCCAGGTCCAGAATTCGTTTGCATTCAAGCATCGGGGGTTTTTTAAATGCCTGTATCCTATATCAAATTATGATAGCATTTGCTGTCATAATGTCAAAATATTCCGTTTACTTAATGGATCTTTATTGTTGTTTACACTTCTGTGGTGTGGGTTTTTTGGTGTTGGGGGTTTGTGTGTGTGTGTGTGTGTGTGTGTGTGTGTGTGTGTGTATGTGTATGTGCCATCAAATCGGATCTGACTGGTACAAGAAGACTGTCCCTCCTTCTCCAGCAGAGCGTCTGATGAATTTGAACCACTTACCCCTGGGGTTGCAGTACAGCTTCTTGCCACTAGGCCACCAGAGCTCTCCTCTTTGGTTTTTCTGAAATACAATTTCTATTTTATACTGGCTTACTTACAAAGTTCATGTACATTGTTTTTAGACTGGATCTTTCCCGTTTCCTTTACCCACAGCTCCCTCCACCCATCAGATTGTGCGACATCCCCATCCTCACCCTTCTGCTCCCCCCTCTCCATTAGGATCCTCATACACGTCTTATGAATAGAAATACATCTTGGATGGGGTTGTTATATGTCTTTGTATGTATCTCTGGATATTTCTTTGGGGTAAAAATTACTACCTTTCAATGATAAATTGAAATGATGAGTTTTTATATACTTAAGTATCATAGTTTAACTTTTGGAATGAAGCTTAATACTTGGAAACCTATAGAATATTGTGTATTATTCAATATAATCTCTTTTTAAGGCAGAAGTAAGGAAATTATGAGAAATTGAGAGTGATAATTTAAAAAGTCAGATATAATCAAGAGTCATTTGAAGTTATCCAAAGACAGCAATTTAGAGTACCTTTGGAAATGTAAACATTTTATTATTAATGCAGAACAAATATTGTTCTATAAAAATATGTCAGCTTCAGGACAATTTTAAAAAATATTTTCACTGTTGAAATAAAAAAAAGCAATTGTATTGCTCGCTCTATCTCTATCTATCTATCTATCTATCTATCTATCTATCTATCTATCTATCTTCAGAGATACTTTTCTAACTTGGATGACTCCCTAAAGTTAAATGCATAGTTAAGTTATAAAATGGCATAGTTATCCTCCAGAAGAGAATTTTATGTCTGTTTGACTAAGTCACTCTGGTAATCATTTGTTGTCAGTTAGGCCCAAGGATAAATGCAGGGATTTGTATGTCCTTGTGGTAGAACTCTGGCATATCTGGTGTCTGTTCTCACTGAGTGGTGCTCTTTAAAACAGCAAATAGAATTTCTCCAAGTGACTCACTGTTAATTTGAAAAGAAAATTAAATA